GTGAAAAGAAGGAGACCTTTGACTAATGTTAGACTCAAACATACATCCACGGCCCTCTACCCATCCGTGTATAAAAAAGGGTAATTTACAGTTTCCTGTCTTTTATCAGCATAATTGTCTCTGAGCCTCAGTAGTGGTGCTGGTGCAATCGTTCTTGGTAATGCTGTAAAAAAAAAATAAAACTTAATGGTTCATATCCTGTGTGCTACTATGATGTGAAATGAGCAGAGTAGAAACGACAGAACATGAAACAATAGGATGCCGTCATTATTTCTTCTGTGTTGTCACTTTAGCTTGCTCACAGCCTCTGGAAAATGTATTCTTAGGGTTTTTTTTTAATTTTGTCCCTGATGTTTTTCTGTCAACCCCGGCTGCCATCTTGAATGTTGAGTATCTTTGATCATGTGCCGATGTCACTTGCATAGCAGAGTTTGCTATCAAGGAAGAAGAAGTATTCTTTATCTTTGCTATCCTGAGTATGTCCACATTCCTATTGTTCATGACATCTGTACAATTTGTATATTATAAAATGATTTATATTTAATGTGTACACGTGTCCTCGATTCTTTTGTGTCCCAGGAGATACAAATTGTGTTTGTGGAGGCAGCTGCTATACAAATAAACTCAGATGGTATGAAAGCTCAAAGCTTTTTCAGGGGGTGTAACTAACTATATTTGATAAAGAAAAATCACTTCAATTGCTGGTCCAAAAGACAAAAAACAAAAATGCATTCTGTGTGCACTCCTCCTGTAAAGAGGTTGTAGTCCACATCACCGAGACTCAGACTGAGTCCAGGTCCAAGTGCACAACGGGGTCAAGACTGAGTCTCCAAGTAAACAAAGTGTATCCATTTCAGTCTTTTAAACTGTTGTGCCCAATTACAGTAAAAAGACATTTTTACAAGAAAGTAATTTAGGATTTTATGTGAAAAGACATGCATCTATTTGACTTTAAACTTTAAATGAACTGTTAAGAATTTGAAATAAAACATATATTTGTTAAATGGAAAATGTTTTTTTTTTTAATGATTAAGAGACTTCAAAAGTATTTGTGAGTCTCTGCCACCTTAAGATTTCCTTTTGGGATTTTTATGCCTTTATTAGCGAGTAGAGGTGGAAAAAAACCTGAATTATGTAAAAAATCAAGATTCTTCTCTTCTAAGATTTAAAATCGATTCATAACTTCCAAAAATCGATTTTTATTTGTTTAATTTTGGGCTAATCAGTCACTCCCTGCTAAGTGCTAATGCTAGCTCTTCAACTCAGTATAATGCCAAATGTAGCTGCAAGAAATTCAGCCAGTCTCACAGATGACTGGAGTAGATCCTGAAGTTTGTCGTTTGTTTTGAATCGAAAATCGATTCTGAATCGACTCATGACCTCAAGAATCGAAATCGAATCGTGAGACACCCAAAGATTCCCAGCCATATTAGCGAGCCAGGACAGTGGATAGATCCAGAAATCAGGTAGAGCGAGAGAGAGCGGAGAATGACCTGCAGGAAAGAAGTCACTGGTCGCATTTGAACCTGGGTTGTCCGCTTTGAGGACTGTAGCCTCTGGTGTGCCTGAACTAACCACCAGTGATCTTGGCCACCCCCTTTGAAACATTTTTGGGAGAGCTAAAGGTAAATGATGATGAAAACTTTTTTTACACCATACTTCTGTTGGTATATCAACTTTGTGCAGAAAATGATCTTCATCTTTATCTCAATAAACTGCATACCAGCAGACTTATTTCTGAATCTATTACGACAAGATCCATGACTTCCCCCTTGACTTACTTATGTCCTATCATTAAATTACAACCTTGTAAATCAGCCGTCCTGATGGTTCCTGAGTCAGACATGTCTGTGTCATTAAACAGCAAAACAAGTTCTTCAGGAAAAGTTGAGTTCTGGTACGCGACAAGGACAGTCCACGCTGCCCTTGGAGTTATGAAGAAAGGAACTGAGAGATGAAATGACAACTTCAGTCTACTGAACACAATGAAAACTCAAAAAGGAGCTGAATGCAGCAGGGAAAGGACACTTTTATTCTCAGAGAAAAAGAGAAGGGAACTAGTTTTTTCTCCTTAAAGCTGCTCCATCTGGTTATTACCTTCATTACTGCAGGAACCTTGGAATAGATCATCTTTATTACACACTAAAGCAACAACAACAACATTTGTTTCGACCTTACGTCAAAACAAGGCAATTCAGCCCCAAAACTGTCCCTCTATGCATCCATATCTTACAAAAAAAAAAATCAAGCCCAGAAACCATAACCCTACAGTGTTTATGAACAGAAGTGTATTTACAGTCGAGCCGACGGTGCGGCTGTGATCCATCATGAGCTCAAAGCTCGGGGGAGTGTAAGGTCATTAAGAGGAAGGCTTTGCCTTCAACCAAAACCACAAACACCGTATCCATCGTGTTCACTGCAGGAGGCGGTAATGGCTCTTTAGTAGACTGGGGACCGCTGAGGAGCCGCTAAGCTGGTCAGAAACACATCCAGGCTGCGGTTGGTTGGGATATTAAACTTGCGACCTGGGGCGTTACATCCTTTAGGTGACACTGGAGGACCCAGAGGTAAAGCTCCAAAACAGCTTACTGAGCATGTTTTGAATAATGAAGTTCTCATATGTGGAAAAATGTTTTCATGATTGTGGTACAGGGTGCAGTAACAGCGTTCAGGGTGGGGTGGATTTTAATTGGATGCAGGTTGTAGGTCTTTTTTACCCAGAGGGCTGCAGGGCTGGACCAGGTGCTCAGCGTATTATGGATCAATCCAGAAATCAGTGAACCCACAGAATGAGTCCAGGGTGTTTATATATGATGTGTCATGTCATAAAAGTCTTGTTGTTTCTGGAGAGATGTGGGATAGAGTTCCTCTCGACGCAGCACTGCCATCTAGTGACTGTTTCCAGAGTCATGTGCAGTAAAAGACTTTCAACCTGGGCATACATGCTGGAGCTTGAGGATCGAGTTCGCTCCAATGCTTTCTATGCATTAAACTTTAAAGGCAATCTGAACAATCCTGTGCGCTGGATTACTCTGATCTTCAAATACAGACTGTAGCGTTTATAAAGGTAGTGAAATGATTGACAATTTGATGAACACAAAAAGAATCAGCCAAAGTTTAAATTAAATATATACCTGTGTAAATAACAAACATTTGATGGTGCCATTTTCTAATTTGACAGTTTGTAGCTTTTCTGAAGTTGACATCTTTAGTTTTAAAATAAATCTCTTTTGATTCTTAATTGTTGTAAATCTAAGTTTTAACTTTTACACAACTTAAAGAGACACTCCACTTTTAATAAATATACAGCACAGTTCAGTTTCTTGTAACTGAGAGTACCATTAGTCCTGTGAAACCAGGTGTATGAATGATGCATTCATGTGATGTCAGACACGTCAGTGTTTCAAAGTTGAAAAATGCACCTAAACGCTAAAGTCAGAACAACAACTCAGAAACTCAGGAAAGAATTCGGTGCTCAACTTGATGTCATATTTGTCGTCAACATGGCGGTGAATTTATGTTCTGATAATGGTTTGAATTTTTTTAAATAATTTAAATATTGCACATTAACTTTCACTTAAATATATTATTTATATTCGTAGCATCCGAATTGAAAGCACATGAACACACTGAAGTCTGAAGAACTTCAGAAGGAGCACATGAATGCAGCAAAAGTATTCAGCTGTAAAAGAAAACATACCTGATGATTTCACAGTGATGTCATCAGGGTTGTCTTGACAAGTTGGCTGTTTTTTTGAAACCCTACTGTAGGTGGAGGTGTTATTAGGTGATTATAATGACCCATGTCAAGTGTGAAATAAGTGCAGCTCAAGTTTCTCTCAAATCCAACTGCATCCTTGTTACTCCGGCTGGTCAAACGGGAACCAATGGCAACAACACTGGAAGACCCAAAAAGTTAGTCATCTTCCCCTTGTAGTGTTGCACTTGGTCTTGAGACCACTTTTTGGAGGTCACGGTCTCGTCTCGGAATTGAAAGCAGTTTTACTCAGTCTTGCCCGCAAACAAGATGATGATCTGCGATATTTATAGTCATGGTCTTGTCTCGGTCTGGGCGCTCTCTGGTCTCAGGACATCTGGGTGTTGACTACAACAGTACCCCTTTGCATATATCATTGTCTGCTATCAGCCGATGAGCCCAAGATTGGACATTAACAACTGATAGATGAAAAATGCATTTTAAACTAATTATGTGAGTTGAGCTCTCTCTCTTCACACTTCTGTTCTCCTCGTCAAACCTGACCTCACAGACCAACATGTGCACTCCAGTACACTTTGAACTCAGATTTGAGGTCAGCGCAAGTGTTTTTCATTCACAGGAGCAGAGAGGCTCTCCGTATCTGTGTGTTAAAGACTATAATCGCTTTGCCTCGACTTGCAAAATCTTCTGGAAACCATTACAGCAGTGTTTGATAACGTCCTCGAGTTCCCTCCCCGAACCCTCCACGCACACACCCTGCAGATTAACTACTCACCGATTAATTAACACAATTACCTCCGCGCGTGCCAATCGGTGTCTTATCAACCTCTGTCAGGCCTTAAACTGTAAATTAATTAATATCCCCTCTCTCGTCATTTCTTAATTACCTCAGTTCCAGCAGGAATTCTGGGAAATGCCTGTGTCAGCTTCTCTGTTTGGTGCTCACCCTTATTATGACTTTGCTGGAAGCCCATTGGTTCGTTAGATAGAGTATGAAAACACGCTGTGCTCGTGTTGATGAGAGGTGATGATGGGATGACAGGATGTTAAGAGTGGCTCTTGATATGAAGAGATGCTCCTTAATCTTTGTGTTTCTCCAGCTGAAGGTGACACTCGACTTTTAGAGAGCGGCATGTTTTCACGAGCAAGTCAATTAATATCGCTCTGAATTCTGATCTAAGATGTTTGAGAGTTGTTGTTTTTTTTAATGAGGATGGATTTGACTCCGAACACTTAAAGCCCTTCATGTTTTTTTCATAAATCATGAAAGAGGCAGCAGAAATTCAAATGAGTTTTTTATTATTATTATTTTGCATCTTTGAGCTCAGGGTGACGGGGACTGGCTCGATCAAACTGGTTAGGTCTGCTCAGGTTCACCTGCTGATCACTGGAAGTTAAAACATCAAACATGAGCGCAATAAAAGGTTGTCATAGACATTTACAAAGACAAATACATTTCGAACAAGGCGCTCTTTTGAAAAAAGTCTTTGAACATTGTTGAAGGCTTAGAAAGTATTCAAAAGAACATTTGAGGTGGCAACCGACTGAAACTGTTTTTACAAGAGAAACGTTTTATGTACAGGCCTTTTTTTTATCCAGTGTATGACATTTGGTGCCTTTATTATTGTTTTAAATCTCTCTCCTTTCTCTTTTTACATTGTTGTTTCCTTATCATACACTGTAAAAAAAAAATAATAATTAAAGTCTGTAGAAAATACGATAACAAACTGTTAAATGGCAACAGGAAAAGATTGTAAAATCTAAAAAGGTTTATCACCGTGGTAAACAGGTAAACAACAGTTCATAAATGACATTTTCACAGTCATAATGTGTTGAAAACATGTATTTTTTTACAGCAAATAACCGTATAAAGGTTTATAATGTATATGTTATTTTTATAGAAATTTACTATGAACAAATAACAGTTGTCTACTGTAAAATGTACGGTTGCCAAAACGTAAATACTTGGCAACCACAGCGGTATTTTACGTAAATTATATGTTTTTTTTTTTTAACAGTGTAGTTCTTTCAAAGATGTTTCTAACCATAACTCATCTTCTCTTTGAGCAGGCCCAGTTCTACAAGGAGCAAAAGGTGGCATTGCACCCTCATTTTAAATTTCTGCACCCTCAATTGAATGAAAGCAAAAAAATAACGATTGTTTTTTTTACAATAAGTAATCAAGGCTTTTGAATGACGACAGTGAGTCAGATCGTGGTAATATTGCATCAATGATCTGATCGTCATGAGCAGTGGTGATTCTAGAGTCTGTTTGGGCCCTAGGCAAAAATCAATTTGGAGCCCTCTAACCGGCGTCCATTACCGCTATGTCTGCCGACGGTTACTCATCTTTCTCTTTTTTTCCTCTCTCCTACAAACTGGTTATTCCTCTTCATTTTTCTTTGTTTACTGTCATTGGCAAACTTTTAACAGCAATTATGCATGCATCACTTAGCAGGGCAAAGAGAGTGAGTGCTGTCAGATGGGACCATTTTAGGGGGGTTTCCTACTGTCAATGCAAATTTTGCACATTTACAGTCATTGTTTTGGTTCAAGTTTTTCAGCCTTCAGGGACCCCCCACTGGTCTAGGGCCCCAAGCAGTTGCCTGCCTTGCCTGTTGAAAAGCTGCACCTCTGGTCACGTGGTGCATGTGACCTGTCTGCTCACTGGGGACCATGAAGGACCCATAATATCTACTCTATTTTTCATTGCTGTTGCTAGTTACTCTAGCTGCTGCACCCTTTTTAAATCTCAGATGCACCCTAAGTCATTTTGTTTTAGAACTGCCTTGGAGAGTAAAACGAAGTTGTTTTTGCCTTTGCTTTCTGCAGCAGGTGAATGGTTACAGTACTTTAAGGTTCTCAGTTTTAGGTTGGACCAATCTACAACACTTTGGGGCATTTTTGATTGTCAAACCAAACCAAACTGATTGTCAAACCAAACCAAACTGAAACCATCTTTATTCTCTAAACGCCCTGTACTCTGGCTTACCTGCTGATACTTGTCACAGCAGTGGAAGCGCACATCGTTGAGTGTGGAGTCGTCCAGGCCCAGCTGGTAGTCCTCCATCTTGGTCTCGATGCCACAGATTCCTCCGTCGTTGCACGTCTCGCTCCAGTAGCCGTATTCCCCCCACTGCATGCCGGGCCCCTCCAGCAACGGGTTGCTGCTGCAGCGGAACCTGATGTTGTTGGCGGCCGTGTCGTCACCGAACAGGCCGCGATGAGACTCCACCCTGAGCTGGAAGGAGGTGAGCACGCCGCTGGGGCAGTACTGGGGACTGGACCATTCACCAAAACTGCAGAGGGAAGTGGGAAATAGATGAAAAGGAGGGGACAAAATTAGGAAAAGATCCAAGATGGGGGTGGAAACATTAAACGGATATTAAGTCAGTTTAACAACATCTCATTTGCAATCCTGGCAGAAGTTCTGCTTTTAATTCCCCTCTGAACAGATGGGAAACCGCCATTCTCCAGCCTCCTGCTGCTCTCAAAGAAGTGCTTAATTTAACTAACTTAAATCTAACCATCATATTACAGACCGGTTTGTCCCATTGGCTGCTAATCCACAGGACAGACCAAGCCACAGGAACAAAGAGCTGCATATTCAAAGATGTCAATGAGAACATGTCAGAGGCAGAGAAGCTGAAAAAAAAAGGTTAAGGAAAGTGTTTATCGACATGTCCATTAATGTCCAACATTGAATTACCTCCCACTGAATTCTGGCTCCCTTTATATATTATTATATTAGTGTACAGTATAGTTTGCTTTAATCCATAGTAAACCTTGATAGCCTTAAAGCGGTACGTTTTTCACTTGAACATCAACAATCCACATGCAGTCCGTCTCAAAAATTAATGCAATATTCACTAGAATGTTTAGAGCAGCTGTACCAGGTTGGGAAAATCTGTTTAGTTTTATTTCATGTCCTGCCTTACTGTTTGTATCCATTTATTTTGTATTTTGGGCTTCTATATGTTTAATTTTCTGTTCTTTTATTTTATAGACTTTGTTGTTTTAGTTTTATTTGCTTTAAAAAAAAAGAAGAGTAACTACAAAGAATTAATAAAACATTTTTAACCATTCCAGTAACCAAGTCGTTGGTTACTTTATTTGTGTTTACCATTTAAAAAAACTTACTATCCAGTGTGGGATTCAACCGAGTACAGGAAGCTCCTGCTGTCGTCCTTGGCACAGATGAGACGGATCCCGTTCAGGGCGGTGTCGTCAGCCCCGTACTGGTTTGACTCCACCTGAAGAAACACATATCAGTTCCCAGAAGGCGTCACAGGTCAAACAGGTTTTGTTGTATTGTTGTTGTTGTTGTTGTTGTGATCTCTGCTGCAAAATTTGGCCTAAAAATTCAACATGAGATATTTTGCACGCAGGTTAAAGGAGCGATATGTAATTCTGTCACAAGGGTTGAAGATGATGTTGCTACCTGAGCATGTTGTGGATTAGATATTTGCCCCTCTAACACACCTGTACATGATAGGTTTACTGAAATGCCCTTTTAAATATTAAACCCATTAAACGGAAATTGTAAACACTCTTTGGTTGCAGCAATTGTTCTTCTTCAAACTGGCTGTACAGTAATGTGACAGTAGCCTAAGTCTTCTGAGAAGTTTCCTCTTTGTTAGTTTTTCCAAACTGCAGCAGCAGCACAGACAAGAAAACAGATGAAATATGTGCTCAAAAGATTGAATAGGGAACCACATACACTTGTATTTGACAAACTGAGCCAGCCTCATTCATTTCAGATGTTTTTTTTATTTTGTAATTCTGCACTGAGTTGGTCAGAGACTTTTTTATGTCTCACACCTGGTTGATTGGTGTGAGACCTTTCGTTGATTGCCCTTACGTTGATTGCATTGATCCTGTCCCTGTGTGAGTGAGTGTGTTAATCTTTTTTTAACTAGAGAACATGATGTCATGAGCCAGTTTACTTTACTGTAAGATGTTTATTCTTACCACAGAAGGTGTACATTTAGTGTATTTACCCTCAAACTGAAGCCAACAGCGAAGAAGTCTTTCGGACACATCTCGGGCCAGGTCCAGTTCCCAAACTGCTCTCCATTACTCACGGTGAGCAGAGATCTGTACTCTCTGCTGTTAAAGGCAGTGCCGGCACGCTGCAAGAACTTTTTCTCCTCACAAAAACCAGCGGACAACACAGCCAGCAGGGCCAACGCGGTGAACAGACTTGCCATATTGACAGCGAGTGAGTCAGTGTTACATGCAGACTAACAAGAACCGGGGCTTCAGGCTGGAGGCTCTTATAGCTTCCCAGCCAATTCCTAAACAGACCTCTCGTATCAGGAAGAATCATTGACAGAGTAGCAGGCCGCCGTGGGAATGAACAGCTGGAAAAAGAAAAGGTTTTTATCACTGATGTTTAGACACACAGGGTCCCTGGTGTGCTTTCAATAATTGGTACGTTTTTGACTTCACGACTTGAAGTTGTATCTGCATCACCAGCAAGAAGATCTTTACATAACTGTATGTAACAGAGTCAAATATGCTTCTGTATCTTGAAGGTTTTCTTGTTATAATGACACAAAATTACCAGGAAATTTTCTGTTTTCTGTTTGTCTCAGAGGACTTTGGGACTCCAAATCGCGTTGTCATTAGCAGCCTCTCCTTTCTTTGTTATCTTCCTTTTTGGTTATTTTTATATAATCATTTCCCCTTTTTGTACAATTCCCTGTGGGAGAAGTGGGTGTTCATTGTTTTGTCTTTTTATCTACGTATATCCATCCCTTTATTTATCGTATTATCTTGTGTATACTTTTGTTCCCCGCAAATGTTTTTGGTGTCTTTTGCAAGCTACTGGTATGTTGTTGGGTTTTTTTCCAGCTTTTTTTTTTTTGCCTTCATTTGGACAGGTCAGTTGATAGAGCAGGGAATCTGAGAGGTAGAGACTCAGGTGACATGTGGGAGCCTGCAGGTCAGACTTAAACCCGGGCCCCCCGCTTGGAGGGCTAAAGCATCTGTATATTGCGACCAAAGCGCAAGGCCGTCAGCGCCTCATCTGTTGGTATCCTGTATACGTTGTCATATTATTGGTCATAAAAGTTAACTTTCTGTGCACAGCAAGTTAAGCTTCCTTACATGCTGTACTTGTTTTTAATCTGTGTAGGATCTGGGGCGGCCTGGGGAATTTCATGGAGGATTTTTGTCTGTGCTTTTCTTTGCCAGTCGGCCAGAGAGAATAAATGTGGTCAGTTAAAAGAAACCCCTGTGTGTGTGGTGTGGTGTGAGTTGCTGTGCTTAAAGTAATTTAATTGAATAAGAAGAAGTATTTTTTATAATAAAAATATAAAAGTCATAAAAAGCCATCCATACAGTCAAGATGGAGAGAAATTAATTTTTCAAATCAAGGTGAGACAGATATTGTAAGCTTCAGTCTGAACCATAACTGATGTCAAATGTATCATCACACAAAGTTTGAAGGATTAATGTCACAACGCGGAGAGATAAAATGTCAGCTGAGTCCTTGGTTGAATTAAGTGATAATGGAGGAGTTCTGCCGTGTTGGCCGCCTGCTCAAAAATTTAAACAGCATGTAGTTTTCTCACGATACAGTCGATGTCATCCCCATTTCAGATCAGCCACAGAACCAAGCATGTATTGTTCAATAAGCTTTGTCATTGACATTTAACATGATCCAGGACTTTAGCAGAGACCCAGAAACTGCTGACATTTCTTATAACTCTGGAGAAGTTGGATCTTGTCTGCGCAGTGGGCTGAAGTCGGACCTGAAACATAAAAGTTAAATGTCATAAAAACCCTGAAGGTCTGTGAAACAATCACTGACAAAACTCTGAGCAACATGCACACTGATGTCAGCACACCTCTTTTTCCACCAGTAGTAAGCTCCTCCAAATAAAGCTGCACTGAAGCCGAATAAGAAGGAGGTGATGCCCAATGTCTTCTTCAGGCGTTTAGCATCCAGCGGATAAGTGTCTGCAGAACATCAAAGAATTCGTGACAATGTCTTTGGGTCTTGAGTGAACAAATTCTAGAAAAACCCCATGAAGAGATTAGCACAAATGTAAAATTAACGACTCTTGAGTATGAGTCAATTGACTCATATGCAACCACTTTCAATTTAGTTCCTAAAGAGTTCCTTCAGAGAGGAGAATGACATGCGGGAACCTGACGGTCAGACTTAAACCCTGGCCGCCCGTTTGGAGGACTAAAGAATCCGTACATAGGGCGCGACCAAAGCGCGAGGCGAGAAGTTCCTTCACCAAGAAAACACCACTAAAAGCTAAAAATTGATGAGTAAAACAGATATATCTCAAATGTGTGTAATCTAAATATCAAGGCTGTTTTAGCCTGTTTATGCTTCCAGACTTAACCTTACCCCAGTCCACATCCAGATTCTCTTGCAGGCTGCTGTGGTCCACCCTGCAGGTCACTCTCTCCCCCCTCCTGGGTATTAACTCCAGGAAAGAGTGCAGCTGGAAGCTCCAGTCCCCGTTGGCTATGATATCTGAGGACAACACATCACTGGTGACCTCTACCCCGTCTCTCAGCCATCTCACCCTCACTTCCTGAGGAAAAAAACCCAGAACGCTGCACTCAAGCACGGATTGCTCCCCGTAGTCCGCTGGCTCGGTCTGTCGGACTCTGACAACCGGAGGCACTGGAGCGTGGAAATGATTAGAGCATAAAATTAGTTAAATGACCTTCAAGGCAGAGTGCAGAAGAGAGAGTCAGGGGCTAAATAGTTTTCTTCAAGTCATTTAATTAAAGAGTGGAAAGAGAAGAACAGTTTCCCATTTTTCCAATGAAGCAAATTAATCCGATGAGGAAGTGTTTGACCATTTCCTGCTTTAAAGTTTTGTTCAATTTTCAAGAGTGAAAATCTCAAAAATATACCTTTTCTATCACGTATGCTCCTTTGGTAATATTTCGCATTGTATCTGCAGACAATCTCCACTTGAATTTTTCGGAGCGCCATTTTCCAACGCTGTGAGTTGTAATGGTCGGCGTTCCTCATGCCCATTTCTCCAAAGCCAACATACTTCCCAACCCGAGAGTCATAGAGCGTAACTATTTCCTTGTTAAACACGTTCTTCACTAAAAAGACCATATCTGAGAGGTCGTCTTCCCCATACTCACAGTCATACATAGCCTGATACACATATCCACCTGGAAGACACAGAAGGACAGTCAGTGTGGACAATCATGACAACATCATTATTAATCTGCTGCATTTGTTGTACAAGTTCCTCAATTCAAAATTGAAGGATTGTGCAAACGTAACTTTTAAATGTCTTTGAAGCTCGATCCAAAGGCAGCTGGATTTGGTTGAAGATGTGGCTTTTCAAGATCTTCAATCAAGACCAGTTGCCTTTGGATCAAGCTTCGAATTAACCATGACCTGCATGACGGAGAACCTACAGATATTAGATTTGCAGGTTTTCATTCACCCAGGTGATTGTAGTCAAATGTTTAATCCAAAGGGCCACTGGGCTTGGTTGAAGTTCTTGCACCAACTCCCAAAAGGCTGTTTCTAAATTCTGACCTTATGGGAAAGTTGGCATTCAAAGCCTCAATTAGGAAAATGAAAGGGGTTCTGATGGATGGAATAACCAACATCAGACCGGCCAATCTTTTGGACACTAGGCTAAATGCATTTTGTTCGCACTTATCATCAGATATCAATCAAGTATGGTCACATGCACAGTTAAGTCAAGCTACAGCTACAGCTTGATAAGGCCAGACTGCTGTTCTTGTACCAGTTTACATGCACCGAGGGAGGATCGATTTATTGACAGAAGTATATCCGACTTTGCTAAGTTAGGTGGTGATATTAAACCCCTTGCAGCTAGTCACTATTAGACCTTCTTCTGGTTGACCTCGCTAACAAGTTAGCAAATGGCAAAGGGATGGTTGTATGTCAAACAGTGAAAACATGGATAACTTTATGTACTACACTTTACTCTTAGTACAAATGCTAAAAAACGCTATCCCACTAGCTTAAGGTGATATATAAAGGTAAACAACAACACGACTTCTGCTATGCTCCTGATCAAAGCCCAATGTGGGGACTTTGAAGAAAACCCTAGTCCAGTTTGGGTCTGTTTGAGGTGTAGGTATAGATGCAAGAGTTAATCAATCTACAAGCACATGCCAAATGATCTAGGTGTGTCAGTCCGTATCATTTCAGTCGGACAAACATGTTTACATCTGAAAACGTACCTGCTGGTGTAGCCCAGAGTAGAACAGCAGAGACTGTGAGCCTGCAGAGAAGAAAGAGTCTCATCTTCTCTTAAACACTAAAAACTACAAGACAAAGTTCATCTGCTGCTGCAAAGCAAACAAAGTCGACTCTGTTTCTAAAATCTCCTCAAGCTCAAAATGTTAACCTCATTCAGCTTCCTGCTTCATTACAATAAATGATGCAATTTGTCCTGCATGGGCAGTGCTGAGATGAACCTGTTTGTCGAGACTTGTCTTTGCGGAAGTTTTGTTTTCATGCTTCATACCAATTAGAAAATAACCTGCAAAAAAACTCCCAGCAGCTCAGTTGACAGATTAAAAAATAATATCCACTTCATGACTTCAAACATTTCACGTTTTCTTCACCATTCCTTTGAGCCGATTTTAGTTTTTCAACGGGACGACTTTTGTTGTAGTTTGAAAGGTTGAATCATAACAGAAATACACAACCTGGTAAGCGACAGGCACAAACCAATGGTAATCTAACCCCTGAATTTAGCCAGGTCATTAGGTCATGTTCCTTTTTTTCTGTGGTTACGTTGATCTTGTATCCTTCAATCTACCAGACGTTTCAGCTATTCAAAACAGGAAGTAAAATACCTAAAACCTGGTTTTGAAATGCAAAATAATGCCATTTGAAATATGAGCTTGAATATGCGATTAGTCAACATTAACTATTGAAATTCAGAGATTAATCACAAATACAAAATAAAATAAAAAAGAATCATTTGACAGCCCTAGTAATCACCTAAACTATTATTTATCTAAATCGTGTTTAATCCCAACAATAAATTAAAGCATTAAACATTTTTTGGAGGGTGTGTTGGCCATTTTTTTATTTCATATAGAAAAATACCAGCTGTTTTCATCTGAAGTTTAATGAGCTTTATTATTATTTATTTATTATATGCAAGCTAAAATGTACAATATAGACACAAACACCTTTACCTTACTGCTGTTTGTGAATCTCAGGATTATGTTTTAGTGTTGTTGTAAAGGTAAAAAGAAACAGACATACAGTAGATAGCATACACCCATGAAGGTGTAAAATATAGCACCACGATGGGGACAAAAACAAAACCTCTGCCCAGCTCACTCCCAGAGGAAAAACACAAAGGGAGAAAAAGGATGGAAGGACGATCACAGATCTGACACCGAGAGATTCAGGTGTTTGTCTCGATGTGTGTTACGCCTGGCAGGACTTGTTAGCTTTCACGATGAACCAGAGTCCTGTGACAACTCCAATCAGCCCCAGGATCACACCACAAACACACAGCGCTGTCTCCACAAGCTGCTGGTCTGTGTCTTTAACCTCTGTGAGGGGGGAAGAACACACAAACACACAGAGCATGAGCTTTAATGACAGGAATAAAGCTTTCACCGTAATCTACCTGAAGACAACATTTAGTACCAGTAACATGAACTATTATAAGAAAAGCCTGCACATCATATCAACCATGCTAGCCGCACAGTTAGGTCTGAATGTCTAATATTCAGATGATGTGACCGATGGAATTGTCCCCTATCGATGCAGTTCAACCATACACAGTAAATATTAATGGACGAAGTCTGAGTGACGTCAGCCATCTGTTTTTTGTACAGACATGTAAACATTTTAATTTATGCCGACAAAATGACTTTTTTGCCTGTTGTGTGTATGTGACTTCCGGTGTTTCTGGAGCCATGCAGCCTCCAAGTGGACACTTGACGTACTGCAGGAATTTGCACTTCCGCATTGGATTCATTTTTCAAGACCGGAGGTTGCAGCATGAGTTCAGCATCTTTTAATGCTCAGCTTACTAAACGCAAACAGTGGGAACTAATTCTCTCCTTGAATTTACGTAAAAAGTATTTATTTGCCATCTGATACATTTTGATAAAGTTCATCCCTCGTCCTTTTTAAATGATCTGATAAATGCAAAATCGTCTCCTCTTTGCTCTTCAGTTTCTCTGAATGAAGTCACCGAATAATCCTTCCTGCTTATTTTAAACCCACCAACTCACCATATTACGTCCGACCTACCCCAGAACTTGGTGAGAGGCTTCTGCAGGCTGATGTGCCCCACGCTGCAGGAGTAGATGTCGTTCACCTGCGGAGTGAACTCCAGGTAGGAAGCAGTGTTGAAGCTGAAGTCCTGGTTGGAGTAGTACTGAGTCTGGCTGACGACCATCTGGTCCACCGGCTCCTCGTTCCTGGTCCAGATGATTGTAACTGTAGGCGGATGGAAGTCTTTGACGAAGCAGATGAGCGTGTTAGGGACCCCGATTTCGATCTCTTGTTTCGGGTGGATCATAGAGGTGGGACTGGCTGCAGAAAGATGAACCAAATGTTGGACAGAGAAAGATAAATTAAGACGACAACACATGGCCAAATGTATGTGTTGATTGCACAATACATTAATATGTGTTTTTGACATTTCTCCCTAAAACAACAGGCACAGGCTTACATGACATTTAACACATTGTTTCATTGTATTGTGGAAGTCTAAAGTTACACTGACTAACACTTCAGGCCCACGGAGATAAAGAGTCCATGGTCAGATTTCAGCGGTGGCTTCTATCTTCACCCCGGTTCCTTAAACCATTAAACAATGACAGACATTGTTACCTGCTCTGACGACACACACATAAACACACCCACACATAAACACACCCACACACACACACACACAGAGGTTTATTACACCTCACAGGGATCGTCCCTGCACCTGTTCCTCCCTCTACACAAAAGAGGTTTCCATTACTTTGCTCTTCGGTAAAGGACACTTTCCATAGCAGCCTCTGCCATCAGTGTGTGAACGTGAAGATGTCACCTGAGGTGTACAAGCACTTTGAGAACTCACAAGAACTAGAGCCGCGAGCCACAAGGAGCACAAATGCTTCAGGGAGAGCCAATTATGTTAATGTCATTTTGCTAAAAATATTCTATTTATTATTATTACTTTTTTTTTTTTTTTTCAGTAATAACAAAGGTGGGCTAGTGGTTAGTGCGCTTGCTACATGTACAGAGGCTGAAGTCCTAAAGAGCGGGCGGCCTAGGTTTGAATCCAACCCGTGGCTTGTTTCCCGCATGTCTTCTCCCATGACTCTACCCACCATCCTATCTCTAAAATAAATTCTAATAAAGGCATTGAAAAAAAAAAAAGTAATCACTTTTGTTTTGGCGTTTTTTTTTTTATTCAACTAAAAGATCTAAGAAGCTCCACTAACTAAAGAGCGCTCTATGAGTATCGTAAATGTGTTACCTTACCTATGTTCTCTGCAGGACTTTTAGCTCCTGCTATGGCTCGTGGGATGTTGTAATAGCAGGTACCCAGGTTTACCCATGAGTCCGGGGCCAGTCCAGGATCAGGGATCCACTCATCCCCGAACTCTGGCAGCCGCTGGACCGGCTGATGGGTGAACGTGTCGGTGTGGAGGAGCTGATCGCCGTCGAACTCAATATCATTCTGGCCGTCACCCGTGACGTTCTTCTGACAGAAGGTCAAAAAGCGAAGCAGGTGTTTACCTGTAATTTGATTTAAAAGATTAACAAAACATTTAAGAGGACGTGGCGTGCTGTGTCATTCCAGGGTCTACAATCTGTGGAGAATAAAAACATCAGGCATCACTCGAGCTGCTGCAAACATTTTGGCTGATTTGAGGTTCATCAGCCACACGGGCAGGTAACCAATCTCTTACCACTTACCCTTTAAAACAGCGTGAAAATTAAAGTAAAGGTGTTTGGTTTTTTTTTATAATGCAAAAGGAGAGAAAAGTGTGTTTAAAAATGTTTCAACACATAGCCTAACAGATCAAAAACATCATACTGTCTCCTTGCTTTACTTTTCTCCTTCTTTGTCGTACATGCCCGTCTATTTTCAAACACATCATAAACCGAGGACTATTTTGAAAATCTTACCGTGACCGCATTTTGAAAGACAAATCACCAGCAGCACCGGGAACAACTTCACTGCCATGTTACATTTCATTTACCTCCAAGCTGAGCAGATTCCAAACAATGACAGCAGTGGATCATATGTGTTTGAAAACTTCCTCTTACAGTAACACGAAACAATCAGAGCCTGTCACTCAAGTGTCAACAATGTTTACTAACAGCCTGAAAAACACTGATGTCATCTTAACATGAACACCTGCTGTCACCTAGTGGAGGGAAATCATAATCACATCATTACAGCGAGGTTGACATTTTCATAACAAGTCATTGTTAAATGTTACCCTCCATCATGTCATGGATCATTCTGGGGCTTCATTTAATTTCCCCTCTCTGTTAATGAAGCACGCTTTGTTTTGTAAAGTGCTCATTTTTTTAAAGTTTGTAAGCGTTACTTAAAATACCAAATTCACATTTCTTAATATTGTTTTACATCCTTTATCATAATATTGCCATTTACAATGTATTTTCTAAAGCAGGCGAGTTCTTTCTCAGATAAATCTGCTCTTGTCCTCTACTGCAGTGGTTCTCAACTGGAGGGTCGAGGCCAAAAGTGGCCGCAGAGCCATTTCCAGTGGTTCCCATCGAGTGCCTGGGGGGAAAAAAAAGTCAAAAAGTGTCTGAAGCACTTTTTAAAACATGTTTGTTTGGTTCTGTTTCTTTGCTCTGTCATGTTTTGTACTGAGGTCTGAGGTCCAACTATAAATGTTTTATTAAATATATCTGAGTAGATGTACAAATATCAGAAACTTGGGTTGTGATTTTTCTTAAAAGAGTTAGTGGTGGGTGCTGAGACCAGTTGAGGATCACTGCTCTGTTGTATTAAGAGTCTATAATAATGCAATATCATTCAGAATCAGAAATACTTTTTTTTAATCTCGGGGGGGAAAGACGGACAGCATAATACTTCTCTATGAAGCAGGTGTTTTGTCGGTGAAATTTTAATCACAACCAGCTAGGGTTTGAGACCAAGTCAAGAACTAGACCATAAATATCACTGAAAAAAATCATCTTGAGTGCAGGGGGCGTGTCACTCACTTGGACCGTTACACCAAGGATGAACTGCGGTCAAACTACAAATAAATTGAAGTGATTTGTTCTTTTAGAAAGAGGAGTTTTCCTTCTGATCAAAGTAATGACGTGGAAAAATAGCCAATCAGTGGTGGTCTTGATTTAAAATCTTGGAGTCTGAGATCGAACAAGACAGTCAAAATTCCTGCGATTCCAAGACGAGACCTTCAAAAAGTGGTCTCGAGACCAAGAGCTATCTGGAGTACTATGATACTACAACGAGCACTAAAGCCTTCAGACTTTGGCTGAAGACCTCAAGTCAGACAAAACAAGCAGTTTGAAGACTTTAGCGCTACAACTTCAGATGAAAATAATCGACAGTGTGTAAAAACCTTGAGGGTTAAAAAAAAAAGTGAAGAAACGTTAATATTACAGATAAAAAGCAGCAAGTCCTCCTTCTTAAACTGGATTTACAAAATGTTCAATATTTTTCTCATCAGTGATTTGTAGATTTGATCTCATCTGTGTCAAACTGCTGGCCACTTCAGCAGACTCCGTCATCCAAAGATTCAAAATAAAAACTTTAAACATGTGACTCCAACAGACCCCACACAGAACTCAGACCGTTTTCAACAGAAGAGAATATTTTAATGAACACACTTGTCAAATGGAAAGGTTTGCTCCAGAGAGGCAAAGACATCCTGCTTAACCAGCGATGCTCATGTGAACACTCTTCAGGAAACAACTAAGACTGTAAACTGGAATGAGAAAGAACCGGGTTAGAAACTGAGAAGAAGGGAAAAAAAAAAGAGAGGGGGAAAGAGGTAACAGGGTAACTCAAAAAAAAAATATATATATATAAAGACTGAACAGCAGGAATACAATAGTCTGTGCAAGGTCAAATACAGTTTAAGTATGTACAAGCATATATTCTTTCACTGAACATTCAACAACAGCTTCGACTTAAATCCACTGTGAGGACTTTGTCGTCTCTTTACGGGAAACTTTAAGTGTTACTTCAGCAACACTGTTTCTGGGAAGTGCCGAGAAGCCGCCAGATTTCTTTTAGAAACCTCCGCTTGCTTTTGAAGTGCTACAGATGTCTTTAAAAGATAGAAAGTCAATATTTGACATGTTTGGGGTTGTTGTGCAACTTAGAAAACCATCACTTCAACGGGTTAACATTCAGTCGTGTGTGCTCGAGGTGCACCGCTTTTTTTAATGCAGAGAAACATGAAGAGAGTCAAAGCTGAACAGACAGGACGCTTTTTAAAATACTGAACACAGAACTTCAGTAGGAGTCTTTTTTTTTTGTAGATTGGTCTGTCTTTAAATGGTTTGTGGGATTAAAGTGAAATAACACAGGCAAGAGGCAAGAAAACAATAAATGAGTGTTTCTTGATGGCAAAGTTAAAGATGAAAGCATTAAGCTCTTTCTATACTGAACTAGTGTAACTCTGAGAAAGGTCTGTTAAACAGACTGCAGCGTAAAGCCTAATGTTTAAGGTGCATGAACAATGATTGTAAACATAACAAGATAAATAATCCAGGAAAGAAACTGAACTTTGAATGTTGACCAGAAACTAGCAGAGCTCAGACAATTGTGACTCTGATTATCAGAAGGAATTTGAGAGCTCATTGATTCTTCTCTTTTTGTGTTTTTCCAGGTTAACTGTACAGATTGTTGTTTCGGGGTGAGATTAAGGCGGAGACCACGGGGATGATCTCAAATTAAGCATGGCGAAAGGCCAAATGTTATAAAAAAAAAGCAAGGCTTGTGACCTAAAGGTTGCTGGTTCAAATTCCAGTAATGTCAGAGGATATGTAGCTGAAGAAAAAACAAACAAATAAATAAACTCTTACATCCTCTCAGCACACAGCGGTAAGGCCAGCCAAAGCAGATCTGGAACAAGGCCCGTCTTTCCACATCCTTTTTATTTCTTCTCTTCCCTCTTTGGGGGATCACCATAAAATTCTTCTTTATAAAAGAAACAATAATTTTTTACAAGTATTTACAAAGGGGAGAACTGGGGAAACCAAGGCATTTAGTGTTTAGGTTCTAGGATGATCCACGGAGACGTTTCCGTCCCTTAGTCCCACATTCACAAAATGTTAACGAGTCCTCTTCGAGCGATTATTCACCGTGGTTTTTTATTTCTCAGCCCACTGCTGCTTCAGGGGTTTGCCGTGTCCTGGGCCAGCCCAAGTCCCTGAGTTATAAATGTGTTGTTTTTTTTTCTCTCAAAGCCACCGTGAACACTTCAACCTGAATCTGAGTCACTGGTGTCCGAGGACGAGGATGACGAGGAGGAGGAGGACGAGTCCGAGCTGGAGCTGCTGCCACTGAGGCGCGTGGGCTGCGTGTTAGTCTCTGCAACACTCGGCTTCTCCGCTGCAGGGAGGACGAAAGGTCGAGTTAAGCCGGATACAGAACAATTAATTAAAAGAAAGATAGGAAAATATATATACACTTCACACTGAAGGTGTTTAAAATACCTTTAGGTTTCGCAGGTTTCTTGACAGAATTGAGTTGACCGCTGACATCTTGAAGCCTCCTCTCCAGCTCTCTCCTCTTCTCCAGAGTCAGCTCCTCTTTTGACTTTCCGATGCTGCCCTTCTTTCCGGCTGTGTGCATGAAAAGGTGAATTTGTTACAGAGTTCTATCCTGTTAGGGTGTTAATGAGCTGCAGTTTTTATTAACTGTTTTTTGGAGTGAAGTGTTCCAACATCAGGGGTTTCTCCCCAGGAATATAATGGAGTCAGTGTTAGTAAGTTAAGTGTGGCTCTTTTGGTTCAGGCTACATACAACCTAGGAAAAAAGCACTGTACACAAACTTCCCTGACATGTTATTGATTAGACGCTTCACGCACCAAGCATTCTGTAATAATGAACTTTCAACATGACTCTCTCAACCTTAAGAAGCTTATGCTGCTATAATTACTCAGGAGGAAAACCAGCCCTTCAATCACTGCAACACATGGAGGGGAGGGATTAATTAAAGAAGTGGGTGCAGCACCTCGGGCTCAGAAACAACATGCCCGTCAACCTGCTGCAAAACTTATGTGGATTTTTATTTTGTAAACTCAGTCGGGGGGGAAATCTAAATAAGGGAACTGTTCCATTGCTGAACAAATAGAAAAAAAGCATGTTGAATGTTTTTAATGTTTGGTGTCCCGTTTGTGTTGTCAACAGTCTGCTTGACTTCTTTAGTAATAACTTCTTTAATAACTGTTTGCATCGCACAACTTCCTCTTTACAGCTACTCTATATTCAATTCCTTTATCTGTTAGGAACTTCAGTTGTGTAAAAAAAGCATCAGTGGGCTCACAGCTCACATCAGTTTCATCCGAATCCTGTTTCAGTTGTCTGTGTGTTTTTTGCTTAATGTTTTGATTTCACATTTTTTCTTGCTGCTTTGATGGGGCCACATTTAGAAATTGCCTTTTGTCTCCCCCTTCTGGCAGTAAGATGCATTACAAAGTGATGACTAATGCAATCCTTCTCATTTGACTTCAAGCCTCTCAAGTTACAGTTACTTATTCAACACCTATGCAGCACTAGTGAGTGACCCAGCATGCAAAACCACTACAGGCAACAGATTTTACAAACTCAGGTAAATCCTTCAGTATTTCACAGTAAAGCAGACGATGATGGTTCATGTAACCCTGTTCACATATGCACAAAACTCGGGAAAACGAGTGAGCTGCAGTCCAAATTTTCACTCAGATGTTTCCAATCATTTATTCAGCCAGCCCACCCTCATTTATTCACCGCAAGCGGGTGGATTGGGTGGGGGACAACAACCACATCCTTCAAATAATGTTTGGTTAGAAAAATTGATTTCAGATCTTAAGAGTGGCACATCGGCTCTGTGTAAAGAGTTATGCAGCTAAAAGTGAAAAAATATTAATAAGTGTTTCTGGAGAAAATTACCAACCCTGCCTGTCCTTGTAAAATATCAGAAATATTAACATGTCAACAAGTGCAGCTCTACTTAGGGGACATCATCATTAATTACATCGTTGCAACGATTTGTAGTTTCACTTGCCTTGTTCAGTGTACGGCTTGCGGGGCTTCTTCCTCAGACACGTCATGACGTAGCGCTCCAGCTCTTTCAGCGTGGATGGCTTGAGTGTTTCAAAGTCAATCTCTATCTCCTCGGGGTTGGTGTCTCTCAGTGAAGGCTCCCTGGACTGAATGATGTGCACCACGCGACCCAGCTTCTCCCCCGGGAGCTTGTTAATGTCGAGGCTCAGCTGGCGCTTCTCATCGTATGACATGGGCACGATCTCTTCCTCTTCCTCCGAGTCATAGTGCGGCAGCATGGTAGGAGTCAGTGGAGGGTAGAACGGCTTCTTTGTTGTCCTGCAGAAACCAGGGTGATAAAGTAAGGACAAAAGCTCATTATCAGCTGCTTGATATTATAAATGATAAATTAGTAATAATTAACAGTGTAAATGTCTCCACATAGTTATAAAGATGAGAGGTAGGTAATAATTCTACTAACTTGCTGTTCTTGTTGCTCTTCTTCCCTTGGTTTTTCTTGGGCTGGGAGCCTCCTGCTCTGGCTGATTTGCTTTTCAGGATTTTGCCGGGCATTTTCCATTCCTCTGATCCAGCTCGGCTCCTGACCCCTCGATTTCGCTTCTCCAGTTTCTTCTTTTTCTTCTTCTCCTTCTCCTTCTCTTTCTCCTTCTTCTCCTTCTTCTCTTTCTTCTTCTTGGGCTTGACGATGGGGCCTTGGGAGAGGGCAGCCAGCTGCTCGTGCACGGCTCTGAGCTGTTAGAAAATTACATTTAAAACGGTGAATACTGGGAAAAACTGTTTTCCAGTGAAGTAAAGTTTCTACAATAGAGACAACTGGAGATCTTACCTGTGTGCACACCTGGTCCTGTAACTCAGCCAAACGGTGTGCCCGCTCCTCCTCGCTGTCTGAGTTGGGGCTGCTCTCGCTCTCTTCGCTCTCACTGCTGGGCTCACTCGCTGAAGTGGAGGAAGAAGAGGACGAGGAGGAGGAGGAAGAGGAGGACGAGGAGGATGGATGGCCGCTCATAGACATGGCTGTGCGATCCAAATGAGGTTCGTCTGGCATCTTTGCAAAACGGAACTCAAACACATCCTGTGGCAGTAAAAAAAAAAAAAAAGAGAGAATGAGAGATCCCTAACTTTCTGCTGTTCCTTTTTTTTTTTTTTTTTTTTTAAAGTCTGATGAGTAGACAATGAATCGGAGAGCTAGGCTCACCTGCAGCTTGCGAGCCATGCCCACAACATCATGGTCAGGTGGGTTGTACTTGTAGCAGTTGGAGAACATGAGTCTGACATCACTGGCAAACTGCTGTGCTTCTCTGTATTCACGACAGTCCATCTTCCTCTGGAAAAAGTTGGGAAAGCACAAAGTAAGAGGCTAAACCAGGAATTATTTTTTCTAATTTCAAAAGGGATATTTCTATTTAAGCGTATTCTATCTTTAAGAAACTATACTATACGTTGTTATGAGTAACACATTAGGAGCTATGTGAGTATTTGGGAGGTCACCTTGATAGTGCTGAGGTCCATGGGACATTTAATGATGTCATGATAGTCGTGCAGCGCCAGTGCAGTTGCGTCCACGGGGGTGTAGAAAGGCCAGGCGTACGCAGCGTGTTTCTTTGACAACATTTCTTTCAGCAGCACGCTGCAGTACCTCAGCTGAGGGCTCAGTTTGCCTTTCCTCGAGGGCACAGGCTGTACAGAGTCGGGCAAGTCCTTTTTGGGGGGTTTAATGGGGCGTCCACTGCCCACTCTGCGACCACCTCCTGCCATCATAGGCTGGAGCAGGACAGGACCTCCAGTGCTCCTGACCATCCCCATCCCAGGCGGGGTGTCCAAACCCATGCCCCCCATGGAGATGGTGTGCATGGAGGTGTCATGGACTTGGCCTCCGTGGCCTCCATGCCCGCTGTGGCCTCCGTGGGTGCCGTGGCCGGCATGGGTGCCGTGGCCGGCATGGCCGGCATGGCCACCATGGGCGCCGTGGCCTCCATGGGCGCCGTGGCCTCCATGGGCACCGTGGCCTCCATGGCCAGCGTGGCCCCCATGGCCGGCGTGGCCGCCATGGCCTCCTTTCCCCAAGCCCACCATGTGTGTTGGCCCCGACATGCCCACAGTCAGGCCCATAGTGGAGGGGGTGGTGGTGTCAGCCTTACGTTTCACACCTTTTTTCTGTAAATGAACAGGTTGTAAGTTTCTATGCTCAAAACGTCGTTGCTTAATTTCAATTCTTGTAAGAAAACATCAAAAATGCTGACTAGGCTAAACCATTTGCAATTTTTATTTTCCTCAAATCTGTATCCCTTTTGATAAATCGTCAGTGGACTTGAATAAAGCTTCTCTAGTCTTCTGACTACTCAAAAGCTCTTTTACACCACAGGTCACACCTACACATTCACACACTGATGGCAGAGGCTGCTGTGTGTCCATCAGAAGTAACAAATCCCATCCATACGCCACTGAAGAAGCAGCAGAAGCAACTTGGGGTTCAGTGTCTTCCCAAGGACACGTTGGACATGTGGCTGCAGCCGCTCTTTTAAAGACACCTTTACACCAGACCCAAACACCAGATATTTGACATTTTGAAGACAGTATCAATTAATAAATATGCTAAATAGAAAATTACTAATCTTGTTTGACAGATATTTTTTACATTATTGTTTTGGTTGTTATAATCAGTATGATGTTTCTCTGCATTCACCTTGGTTGTTGGCTGTGTAGGGTGAAGGCCCATGATGTTGGCTGGAGGCCGGGTTTTCGTCAGGACAGTCTGGGGAGAGTCTGCGAGCATCGACTCAGTGTCCGAGGAAGAAGGAGAGTAGGCTGACTGGGAGACTGCTGGCACCTGCTGAGCCCTCGATGCTGAGACGTAAAGTTTATTTAAATTGAGAGACAGAATTTAGCAACCGAAATATACAGGCTTAAAGAGTCATGTCTAAATTCAAGATTATTACTTAAATGACTGTGTGATCAAGACAACAAGTTGTCGAGGAACTCACAAGATTTGCGACCCCTTCCTTTACTGTTCTTGCTCCGAGGAGCCGGAGGAGGCAGCTCAATTTCGTCCTGGGGCATCTGAGCCACCTTCTGGAGAAAGATCTTCTCCAAGGACTGGGCCATCAGAACAATGTCGTCTGTCGGCTAGGCAGGGGGAAAAAATATAAACACATAATAAGCAGAATGCAAAGAAGTCACAACTGTAAAAATAAATAAATGAAATGGAAAGCAAAAGTAAAATGGCAATGATTGGATGGAACCGAAAATAATGTTTGGTGTCAAACAAGGATAGTCAGGCAGAATCAAAAAGACTGCCACCTTGTTGTTGACCTTTGACACTTTCATTTTCCCTCTTGCCTCATAACTTTTGCTGCAGCACGTGTATAGACTATGCAAGTCAGCACATGTTCTGTTATTACACAGTACTGCAGAGTATCCTCGTTTCTGTTAGCAAAGTGTTCGATGAACATTTTCTCATGGGAAATTAAAAAAGTTGTGAATTTCACTTTCTCATTATATAAAGAAAATACTTGGATCTCGACCCGGGCTGGGAACGAATCGTCAATAAACACTAGAACGTTTTGTTAAGGCAAGTTAAAACATTACACTAGCTGTGAAGAGGGTCCATCTGATATTAAATGTAATCAGAAAAAGGAGGCCACAATATGAAGTAAGGAGTTAAAGTGAAATTTAAAGAGCAAAAAAAAAAAAAAACACCTTGGGAAAAAGTCCATTTTACTTTTCAACCTACCTTGTTGTAGATGTAGCAGTTGGTGAACATTGTGTTGAAGTCCTGTATGCACTCGCTGGCACTGCGGTAGAAGTTGTTCTCCAAACGCTTTTTGATGGTGCCCATGTCCATGGGTTGTTTGATTATTTTATGGTAATCCTGAAAAAAAAAGGCCGACGGAGGCATGATAATCATTATAAACATGTTGTTGACATGTTTTAAGAGAATGAGCAGCTCCACCTCTTAAACCCACCGGCAGATTAAGCCTGTAAGCATCCACCGGCTCGTGGAAAGGCCAGGCAAAGTTATGCCTCCACAGACACTTCATCAGGGTTCTCTGAAGAAACTGAAGCTGGTTGGTCATTCGGCCCGGCCGGCTGGGATCCTTCACAGGGGGCTGTGGCGGGATAGGAGGCCCCTGGGGCAACGTGTGTGGCAGAGACGGGCTCTCGAAGTCCTCGTACAAGAGGGAGGGCTTTCGAATGCGTTTGCTCGAACTGGTGTGTTGGTCCATCCCGCTACAGGACAACCCGATCAGAGAGCTGCGGGAGAGGAGACAGAGAGTAAGAGGGGAAAGAGATAAAAAATAATAGCTCACTTTGGTTTTTATTCATCTGTAATCAGAGAGAGCAGTGAAGCAATTTTTGTTTGGGAATACAAAGACTTATGAGATCCATGCAGGGAGAGATGCTAGGAAAGGAAGCAACCTTTGAGATAAATGTGCAGTTTTACCTTTGCCACAATTATTGATACAGTCATCAATTGCACAATTTATCAACTCTCATTATCACATGAATCATGATTAATCCCCCACAATCAAAAAGAGCAGCTTTAACATGGCTCATTCACAAATCCACTGCCCAGTAAACCAAGCCCCTGCCCTAAAAAACAGTCATCAAGGGAACTAGGCCTGTATCAATAGGCTGCTACTTTTAGCACAGTCCTGGGAACCACCATTGCATGGGTCCTCCCCATCTCCAAAAACACATTCACTACACTGAGACTGGTTGATAAAACCAAAAAATATGTAGAATATATTATCGTAGTACATCCTACAAAAATATAAAACACCACTGCAGCAGCTTTGGCTCATAAATATTTCATGAATCAGGGAAAAATACATCAATTAACTCGTGTATTTGACAGTGAGCGAACGCTCCTCTGCCCTCAAAGCAAACATTCACCCTGCTCTGTGAGAAGATGTAGAATATATTTTTAAAAAGTGTTTACAAAAATGACATCATTTTCCATTTTTTGTTAGTTGCAAGGATGCACAACAGAGCAACACTCTTTATTGCACAGCAAACTGCCGAACCAATGAATTATTTCCGTGTCAGGTCATTTTACGAGACCCATCCCACATGGAATTCTTTGGACAAATAGGCTTGATTTACACAGAAGAGTGTAAATCAAATGTTCCAGCATGTCATTTGGCCAACATCACAACAGCACCACTGACATGAACCATCCCCCAAATATTAATAACACTCCAAGATGTAAGATAACCAATCACAACACAGCCGATACACAACACATGGCGCAATTCATCAATATAAACAAAACAAATAAAACAACATCATCTGAGTTCATCCCATGATCCAACCAGTTTACATATGATCCAGTTCATAAACCAATACATCAAATAATAGTCTAAGACATTTATCTGTACATTTCCTCCTCCTTTCCCACGCTTTATAGATATTCATTCAGAACAAGCAAAAGCATGCCAACACAAAAACCATGGCTGACAGTTTTTGTCCCTTCAGTGTGCAATATATAAATATGTAAAATACTCAATAGTGGCTTATCAAGCAAAGACACACTTGGTTCAAATGTCTGCACAGCAATTTTTGGACATGAATTTGGCTTGTTTAGTTTAGTTTTTTTTCTAAATTAACAGAATGATGAATTTTCCTGCGCTCCCGTTAATGCCCTGGACTGAGGCAATCAAAGTTGGTCTTGGTTCTGGGGCACTTCCTCTGCCCACTACTTCAAAAGTCACACACATGTAGGTTAAAATACAAGTACTGAACCTGTAGTCTTTGCTGCAGTTCAACAAAACTACAGAGACAGTGTCCGTTGTAGACCTGGGGAATCCCTAAGTCCACGTAGTCAGATGGAGCCATCATGTCACAGTAAACCCTCTTCTCTTTCCTCAAAGCAGACGCACATCAACGAGAATTGGAAGTTCAATCTAACCCACACACAGACACACTCACCTGCCCTACACAAACTGTGGCAAAGCCTGTGAGTTGATTTACTACATCAGTCAGAGTCCAGGCAACCCAAGCAAAGGCTAAACCGCATTAGCATTGAGAAAACCAAGAGCTTTGGGTAATGAATGCAAACTTCTCATCGAATACATTCAAGGTCCACTTAGCTGAACTTTTGAGTATAAAGCAAATGATGTGGTCCTAACCTAACTGAATTATGAAGTTTTGGGATGTGTTTGATCTTTAAAAAGAATCGATAACTTGGCACCTTTTAATCATTGGCCCTGCTGTTCACATTTCTGGAATACCTGAACAAAAAAAAAAGCAATAACTTACAATATTTTAGCAATTTTGTGTAGGACATGGTCATTGTCCAAACTCAATGTCACAATATGTTTAGTATCCAGGCCTCTGTATTGTGTATTGTATCGTGGGGTTGTGTGAAATACCCAGCCATATAGCCTGGCCTGTGCTTCAACAACATGTTCATCATACAATCAGATGAAGCTCCTGCCAACCATCAGCTACCCCCAGATTCATTGGTAATTAAGTGGTTAAAAGTGGGGTTTTTTGGCTTTAGGAAGGACATGTTGCAAACACAACCACTGTGTCAAACATGAACAGCAGATAGACGTAAACACTGAGTAATAGCTCATTATATGTATTCTTTAATATTTTTTTTAGTACCCACACTTCATTTTGTTATGAATATTTAACAAAGTAATCATACAGGTATATTATCTGTACATGAAAAGCAGACTGTATTTATCTGGGTTGATTAATCCCTATTTTTCATGACCCAATACATCGCAGGTAGATAGAAAAGATATCGCAATGTCTGATATTCAAAAATCATGCAGCCACATATAACTCCAACATGATAGAAACGTATACGCTGATGTAAGAAACCTCAGTAGTTTAAAACGTCAATCTCCTGTTCTTTAGAAGGAAAAATGAACCGGTTGTTGTTATGTTTGAAGTTGTGAGTATCTACGTTATAGCCCATACACTACAAAGTCATTACATTGGCAGAGTTCTGTTATTGAGAGCTAAATTTATCCAATAGTGATTATGCATCATCAACTAGAGCAGGGGTTCCCAAACTTTTCATCCCTCGACCCCCAAAATAACAATGTGAGAGGCTGGGGACCCCCTCTGAACCGTGAAAATGGTTAAAGCATTTCATGTTGCACACCGCAGTATGCACTAATAGACACAATAGACATTAAAACAACACTAAAGCCTTAAAATAATTATATTATTTCAGTGTGTCTGTGTGTATCTTTGTTGACAAAGAGCAACCCAAGGTGCCTACATTGTTAAAGTCAAATTGTTAACTTTTGATTTCAGCACAAATCCCACCTAAAAAAGGACTATTTCACAGTAGTGGGTAAAATATGCAATTTGAAGTCATTTCAAAAGATCTCTGTGACTAATCAGGCTTTTTTTTTTTTTTCAAACCTGCATACTCTCAACTTGTGCTTTAAAAGTATCAGCACTCGTTAAGTAGAGAATAAAACTGCGTCTTGTTAGATGAAATCGACACAAAAGAAGGACAAGTCAAGACTCCTGGATCTACCTTTGCAGCAGCAGCAGCAGCTGGTGATCGCGTGGTTCGATCGCCCCGCCCTCACTGTTTGTAAACACTGCCTCGCGATGACAGAAGCGCGTGACAGACGTCGATTTTTTTTTTTCATTCAAAAATGAAAACACGACACGATCCTTTAACCAACGCTGCTGCTCTGGAAAAAGCTCAAACTTTAAAAACCTGGGACTCCATTCATTTTTGCAGCAGCATACAGACAGACAGACAGACAGACGGACAGACGTGTTGTTCCCTAAAGCTAAAAGGAGTACTCGCTTGGCGTTGCTAGGCAGCAGCAATGACACGCCAAATCTAACATCTCTGAATGGAGTAGTTTTGATTTGGAAAATGACGTGAAACTGGAGGCATATATGTTGACTGTTTGCACACCGGGTTGTGCTGCAGACGGCGGGATTAGCGTTAGCAGGGTGCCTCTGATCGATGAATGACCCCGGCTGACAAGAGAGCCGGCGGGGGGGGAAGCAGCCAGCTCAACCAGCCGCTGGGGGTGATGATGCAGCTGTCATTTGGCGTCTCTGTGCCAGCTCAATAATGAAGCTAACAGCCAAAAGAGAAAAAAAAAGAGGATGCGACCGCAAATTACACATAACCCTGCTCCAAAAAAAAGCTCGCCGTAACATCTTGAGCTAACCGCTGGCTTGACAAGCTAGCGTTGCTATAGTGACGCTAACGTAAATAACGCTTAAAAAAAGACATTCAACGTCAGTCAGATTCTTCCAGCACAACAAGGCGGACTTTACCTGTCGTGGGGCAGGTTGACCGCCGCTTCCATCGGGGCTGAAGGCGGTGTGTTTATTGCGATCCAATTTCCTCAACCACTCTTGACGCTGCACTTCCACTCAGTAACTCCGCAGTGAAATGGCGCTTTGACGCTTCCGCTTGACGCTATATAAACCCACCGCGTGGCAGTGTGACGTATTTCCTGCAGAGGGAGGAGTGTTGCTGCGCTCTATTGGCTGTGACGACACGTCTGTCAAACGTAAGCACACACCCAGCAGTCTCTTCTCGGTACATGTTGTTCTCTGACATGTTGGAGCCGTAATATTTACAGTCTACGGTTGGAGCACAATGGTTGCAGGGTTCCGCACTTCCCCGCAGTGAAGACTTTGGATTCTGGATTATAATCACACACACACAATCACGACTTAACTTCTTTTCTCTTATTTCCTTCTGCTCTCAGGAAAAGGTATCATAATGTCTCTGTGTTGTGAAGGTTTTCTGTTTCCTGTGCCCTGAAAAAACGCTTTGGATTTCTACGGAAGAGGATTAGGTCCATGTATGAAAAAATAGAATAAGAGCAGGAAGAATTCACTTTTCATTTTGCATTTTAGAGAAAAACATCTAAATGTCAAGAATAAAGTTAAAATAGCGTGAATACAATTGAAATACTCAAAATAAATTCGATTTGTTTTCTATTCTTTTGTATTTAACTATATTTCGATACTTTGAATTAATTATCATAATTGTAATTCTGCTTTTTCCAAACATTTTTGCCTTATTTTCTCAACATTTTGACTTATTTTGTTTGATATTCTGACTTTTTTCTTGATATTCTGTTTTTTTTTCTTCTGGAAATGCATAATGCAAATTAGTTTATTTCTCATGCATGGCCCTAACCCTCTTCTGCAGATTGCTGAGTTGGTAGAAAATATTTAAGGCTTATAATTAAAAGACATTACATTATATTACCTTTCCATAAATTCCAGCATGTTCACAAAAAGCTCTTAATAAAGGCTCGGCAACTAAAAACAATAACAAGTCATAATAATACCAGAAAAGACAAAAAAAAGATTTAATGATGTAGAACCATTCATTTACAAGAGACAGAGCTACAGAAAGAGTACAAAAGCATCTAGAAAATGAAAAATACATGACAACCAAATCTTAAATATTCAGGATATAGAATTAGCAGAATCTACATTTGCAAAGTGTTAACACCAAAGTGGGATTATTATAGAAATTCTTCATAATCAATTCCATTCAAAGCCAACAGGCATATGGGAGCTTCCCATTGGTCAGTACTGTGAGATGATCTGATGATACCATCGTTAAGCAGTTGTCCATTAAATGCTCTCCTTTGGTTTAATGAGACAAATGTTAAAAATCAACGACTTTTTATCCACATCACCCACTTCAAGTAGAATCAATATTTATCAAGCCGTTTGGATTCACACGACTCAGTCAAGGCCGTCTGATCCAAGTTTTCATGTTTCTCTCATAACAGTCCAAAGCTAAAAAAAACAAGGAGTTCAAGTACAACTCACTCACTCACTGCTTGAGTGCAGGAAAAGAGGAAATATTCTCAAACAGAAAACACTCTTGACAAATTCTCACAATAAAGGCTTCTATTCAAATAAACAAGTACTACTGGATTCTTTACCCTTCAAAGCAACTAAAAGCTAAATCATTTTATACAAAAAAAAATCATAAATTGTCTTTTAAGACACTTACATTCCAAGGGGCTCCTGGGTGCTGGTGGAGCAGTGGTTATTGCGGGCGCCCCATGTACGGAGACTGTAGTCCTTTAAGCGGGCGGCCAAGGTTCAAATGCGACCTGTGGCTCCTTTCCCGCATGTCACTTTCCACTCTCTCTCTTTCTCGCCCTGATTTTCAACTCTATCCACTGTCCTGTCTGTACAATAAGGGAATAAAAGCCCAAAAATATATCTAAAAAAAAGAATAATAAGGGGTAATAGGGTCTCTGACGGCCGACCTTTGGCTCCATTCCCGCACGTCATTTATCTTTCCCACTCTCTTTCCCCATTTTCCTACTCTATCTGCTTCAGACAAAAAGCCCAAATAAATAAATCTTTGGGGACAAATAGAATCATTTAAGAGCAACTTTAAAAATATGTGTAAGATGTTCTTTTGAGTTTAGTTTTATAAATAAAATAAAAAAATACAACATAAACTGGACCAGGTCAAAATGGAGAAACCAAACAGGGCGAGTTAAATTTAAAAAAATGCAATGAAAATGTAATCTTGGTACCACATGTCCTGTCAGCTCACGTACACTCCTTCGTTAGCGAGCTAACCTTGTGTCATAGCGCAAAGAAAATGAAATGGGTATCTTAACCCCGGAGAGCTGCAGAAGGTGATGCATAATTTATCTTCTAATTTGCCCAATTGGCTTAAGCCTGATTTATACTTCTACATGTAATCTATGCCTTAGGGTTGTGAAGCCCTGGACCTACGCCCGAGCGTACGTACTGTACATAGCCTGACGTGCACCCTCTCAAAAATGTGACTACACCTTGAAACAATGCAGACTGCTAGCCCTGCCATTGGTCCGCTAGATAGTTGAGTAATCCTTGCATTTACAACGTTTTCTGTATTGGGCCGTTTTCAAAATTCTGCAAAAGGAAGAGCACTAGGACAGTATTTATCAGCTCCAAATCCAACATAATATGCTCGGTTCCAGTCGCCATGGTTTTTTAGTCATTTAGTTTAAAGTAGCAGAGAATGTGGCAGAACTGGACACTGGCTATATACAGTAACTGGCATGGTAATCACATTGTGAAGTAGTGGTTTGGTTACAGGCAAAGCAATGTAGAGCTATGCAGACAAACAAACACACACAAAGATGTAGAGGTCACTATGGCGTAGCTAAAGTGTAGACTCAAGGTAGGAATATAAATCAGGCTTTAAAGACGGGCCATTTTACCGCTAACCCTCCAGTGACTTGACTGCTTCTCTGGCTCTAGTGCAACCACTGCTTTCTATCATTGTGAATCGTTGCCCTCCTCTCCTTGACGGTGAAAGCCGGTATTCTGCTTTCTCACCATCTCAGCATAAAAACCGTCTAACTCCAGCAGCTCATCGTGACTGCCCTCCTCTTCCACCGTCCCCTCATTGAGTACAATGATGTGATTCGCCTTTTCAACTACACTCATCTTGGTGGAAATCAACAGCACGGTGCAGTCCTTGGTTTGGTTCAGCAGAGCTTGGTGGACCTGTTGAGTACAGCGATGACTGGGTGTTACTGCACATGTAGAAAACAGTATTTTAAAAAATTAGCTGAATGGGAAACATTAAAAGAAAATATTACCTGGTATTCATTCTCTGGGTCCAGGTCACTGGTAGCGTTGTCCAGGATCAAGATTTTAGGACATCTGATTAAAGCTCTTGCGATGGCAATGCGCTGCTTCTGTCCTCCTGAGACCTGGCCTCCCTTCTCTCCGGCATCTATCCAACATACAACATATATTGTCATATTTATAGCAGGTCAGGGATTCATTAAGTGACCTGTAAGGGCGCACTCACACTAGGCCCAGTTAGCCCATACCATGCTGAAGCCTGATTGCCCCCCCCTCCCCATTCCCCCGCTGGCCTGCACTCACACTGCTCCAGGACTAACTGGGCCTGAGCACGGTTACCTCTTGCACATAACATCTGTTAGTACGTATTTTCATGAATTCATTCATCTTGATCATTTTGTGGATATATCTTTGAATTGTGTCAACCATCTTAGGGTAATTCTTCTTTTGGGTCTGTGAAGCTGTAACCTTATATGGTGAAACATCTAAATTGTAGCAGGTCTATGTTTGGATAGGAGCCAACCATATGTTGTCAACAACTGTTTGCTAGACAAAGAGTCTACATCTGTTACGTATACAAATCAGTGTCATGTCGTCTTTATTGTTTTATATTGACGTACCCAAATGGAAAGGAATTTGTGGGCTGTACCTTCTAGCAGAATATAAGCCACACTGTGTGATGAAGACTTTGCCACTTTGCCAATGATTGCCAGCGATTGTGAGATCTTGGTCTGCACTTTGTCAGCCATGTGTGTTGTGTTTCTGTGTTGTCTGACCATGGCTGATTAAATCTAAGATGATCCACAGTCTGTTTCACGATTTCATCTACGACAGAAATAACCCCCACCTAACAACATCCTAATACAACACATGAATGGCTTTATGTAATTATGAAGCAAGCTTATTTTACAAGACAGGCGGACTCAAAAATACAAGATAAAAAAAAATAAAAGTCGTTCATTGTTCCAGCGTTGAGTACTATGTTTACGATGTGTTTTATTTTAATAAAATGAAGGACAATGAATAATGAACGACTTTTATTCCAAATTGTTCCAGGGAGTAAAAAGATCCCGTGAAGATCCCCCACTCAAGCATTTGCATATATGGAGGCTAAGTTTGTGGGTCAAACCTGTGTCGTATCCACTCGACAGCTCCATGATGAAGTCGTGCGCACTGGCCCGCTTGGCAGCTCTGTACATGTCTTCGTCCGTAGCATCCTCTAAGCCATACTTGATGTTCTCCCGCACGGAGCGAGCAAACAGCACGCAATCCTGACTCACCACAGCGATCTGCAAAACAAACAAGATGGAGAGGAAACGTTTGTGACTTTGTAACTGTCACAGCTATCTCTGAGAATTTTTCCAGAAATGAATAGCAACAGGAAGATAAAACCAGGCGCAATATTTGAAAATGTCCTAAAAATTCTGTGCCCAGTCGACATACAATTAAAAAAGCAGTGTCAGGAGAAAATTAAAACACAAGCAAAGCAGTGAAATAACTGATTCTACCCAGCTTTAAAAGCCTCAGGATTTTTCTAATAAGCTCCACAAGCAGAAACTAGGATCAATATTGGAGATGCTTTTGAAAAATGGAGAGAGGTTAGAAAGCAGAAATTTACAGACCGATGCAGAGCTGGCTAAACACTGAAGCTTCAGTGTTTGTAACACGGCAACCTGCATGAGCATCAACTCTAGAGAGGAGGGGGGGGGAGACAGCTCTCTACAATGCTTTGAATTTGGACTGCAGTACCCATTTTAAACACTAGGTGTCAGAGTTATATTGCTCCTTTAACATTAAGAGTTTCTATACAAAACAGAAGGTGTTGCCTGAGTCTTTTGGACAGGGCTCCACACATAGAAACCCTCAAAAACAATTCCCCATAGTGCTGCTGGTTAGGAACATAAAAAAGGAGAAAATGCCTTGTGACAAGAGACAACGCACCTGCTCATGTAGGTACTGGTCTTTGTAGTTTTGGAGTGGTTTTCCATCCAGTAGGATTTGTCCTTCTTCGGGCTGGTAAAATCTCTCCAGCAGCTTCACACAGGTGGACTTCCCTGACCTGTTAAGACCCACTAGGGCAGTGATTTGGCCCGGTTTAATGTCCAGAGACACATCCTGGTAGAGGGAAGGAGCAGAGTGAGTTGGTAAAAGAGCCTTACGGGGAGAGTATAATAA